GAGAGAGAGGGAGCGCGAGGGAGCAGAGGACAGAGAGAGAGGGAGCGCGAGGGAGCAGAGGACAGAGAGAGAGGGAGCGCGAGGGAGCAGAGGACAGAGAGAGAGGGAGCGAGAGAGATCAGAGGACCGAGAGCGAGCGCGAGAGCGCACGCGCAGCGGGCAGAGGCAGCCAGAGATCAGAGGGCAGAGGCAGCCAGAGATCAGAGGGCAGAGGCAGCCAGAGATCAGAGGGCAGAGGCAGCCAGACTGGAGGACGGTGCGAATTACAAAACAGATGAGGGCAACAGGCAGGGTGGGGAAAAGAGGGCGACAGAGAGTGTGGAGACAGCAAGCAATAGAACAGAGTAGAGAGAAAGACAGAGACAGACAGACAAAGTACAGGAACTTGCGAGAGAGAGCAACAGAACGGAGGTATGTGCGTAAGAGAGATAGGCAGTTCAGAGAGAGTACAGGAGCTTACGAGAGAGAGAGAGAAAACATGGAGGAGGTATACAGACCAGGAAAGAGGGAGACGAAGTGCGGAGGAGAGAGACAGCAACAGTCGTGGACTGTGCAAGAGTGAGGGAGAGGGAGTGAGAGTGGATGGGAGAGGGAGAGGGACACGGACACGGACAGTGAGTAGAGGAGCGTGCGAAAGCGAGACTGAGTGACAGAGCAGAAGAGAGAGATGCACACAGACAGAATTTGGTTTAATTTATTATTGTCACATATACCTAGGTGCAGTTAAAGGTTTTGTTTTGCATGCAGTCCAGGCAGATCATGTCACACAAAGCACATTACAGTACTACAGCAGAGTGAGGAATACAACATTACAGCTGCAGAGAAGGTGCACAAAGGGTGAGATCAACATTGAATTTAAGATTAGAAAGGTCCATTCAGAAGTCTAATGACAGCGGGGAAAGGAACTGTTCTAGAATCTGTTGGAAGGTGTGTTTAAGCTTCTGTATCTCCTGCCCGATGGGAGAGGTCTTTGATTATGTTTGCAGCTTTCCCAAGGCAGCAGGAAGTATACATTGAGTCAATGGACAGAAGGATGGCTTGTGTAATGCTCTGGGCTGTGTTCACCACCCTCTGTAGTTTCTTAGGGTCCTGAGCACAGCAGTTGCCATACCAAGCCGTCATGCATCCGGGGTGAGAGACAGACAGATGGAGTGGATGGGGGATGGGAAAGAGTGGGGAGAAAGAGAGAGGCGAGAGGAGAGGGTGGGGAGACATACAGACAGAAGAGGTGAGAGAGGAAGACAGAGTGGGGTGGGAGAGAGAGAGAGAAAGACAGACAGTGACATGGTGGGGATGAGGGGGTGGAGGGAGAGAGAGAGAGAGACACACACACACACACACACCCCCACTCACAGACAGAAACAGAGAGCGGCACATAGACAAAAGGGGTGAGAGAGATAGACAGACAGACAGAGAGAGCAGGGTGGGGAGGGAAGGCAGAGAGAGAGAAACAGAGACTGTGACAGTGTGGAGGAGACAGAGCGAGCCAGGGGGGAAGTGGGGCGGTGGGGGGTAGAGGGAGAGGTACAGGGAAAGCGA